GTGACGTATAAAAACTAAATGGCTTATCAAAATCAAACTTAAAGGCTTATGCCACGATAGTCTATACTATGTAGATATGGGTTATCCACTTAAAATGAAAATAGTAGGGAAGGGTAGCTTTTGGTGGAGACCTACTAGATCGGCTACCACTGTAGATGGTTTGGCTACAAAATTTTACTTGTCCATTACTATGACGGTGCCTTTGAGAGGAAGGCGCTATCTATTCTGACGAATACAAAGGAAAATAAGGTTCAGGTTGGATTTGGCTTCGCTAAGTGATGCAGTGTCGAAAAAAAAGAAATATGTAACGTTAGAAATAAAATGAATAAATAGAACAGTTAATAAGTATAAAATAGGAATAAAAAGAGATAATGGTGAAATAGGCAAGAAAGATAAGTCACGCTGGAATTAACAAAGCCGATAGGCCAAAAAGAGGTAAATTAAGAAATGAAGGACCGTACAGGGTCGCTAAATTACAGAGCAGATTTCCTAAAATGTAGTCAATTTTTGAACTATGCAAAACCAATATGTTCCGAAATTTTTTACAGAATTATCATATCATGTAGAACTATCATCTGAGATGGGACTTCACATTTCCATATTTCAAAGAGCATGACTTGCATACGAGTGGTAGTGATCCTTGAGGTGGTGACTGCACTTTGATCCACCATTTCTCTACTTGTAGCCCGTTTTTTTGTGGAGACCGATATAGATCAATTACTATCATGTCTGCTGAAAAATAACAGATGCTCATGCAACCTACCATTTCGCCGTTCCTAGTGATTCCAAAGTCAACGTCTCCTCCACTGACTCGCCAAAACCATCGGAATGTTTTGCCTTTTTCACCATTTATCCTTACCTGGAAAAAATTCCAGTACTTTTTGTTAGGTCACATTGAGAGTTCCGTTTAATACATGCCCTAGAATAGAATTGTGATTCTTACACGAAATGAAGTGTTAGTGCGATATGGGCCGGAGAGTAAAGAAAAAAGGAAAAGAATCCGTCGAAAACGCTTAGGTTAAGGGCTCACTCACCATCGGCTGTGCTAAGGGAATGAGAGACTAAGCGCGGAGAGGAGAGTATGAGGCGAGAGAGCGCTACAGATGAGAGGGCGCCAGACAACAGCCTGATAAGAAAAAACGCTGCAGCTGCTGCAGCTACTTTTGCAAGGCCCTAGCCGCCCATCTTGTCGGGTAATTTGCACGCGTGGCAGTGCCGCATCTGTGATTTCCCTCTAGAGCTCTATTCCACAGACCGTTTCACAGAAGGAGTTGTTCACATGACTTCTGCCTGGATTGTGCCTATAAGATGAAGAGTGTCTATAAGAACGTCTACATGTCTTATAATACTAACAAGATAGTAAACATATATAAGATGGTACATGACCATCGTCAAAGGGAGTCCTAAGAGTGCAGACATCTCGCCGGCCATCGGTTGCTGGAGCATTCGAAACGTCGTGAACTCCAAGTAAGGATTCGTAGAATTTGCTCTAGCGCTTGCGGAGAAATTAACCCTTCATGAGCGAGTGACCATATATTTTTCCGAGTAATTGTGGGGTTATGCCATCGCATTCTGCAGAGCATAGCAAGGTGTCCTGCGCACCTGCCGAGTAAACGTTTTATTATGCGTCATGCCATTCCGCTGTTCTCAGAAGTATTTAAAGGCAAACCTCGGAACCAGCCCGACCGCCGGGAAGGATATCGCGAAGAAAATTGTAAGGTTCGTACCTGCCTACAGCGGTTAGCTTTGTCGCACAAATTGCGCAGTTTGGACGCTAGTCCTTGCGGGCCTGCAACCATCGTCTCCCGTGCAACGCTTACCACCCACTTCAGTCGATCTAGCGATAAGCGTGCTCACAGAACATCTGATCTCTTGCGAGTTTTGTCTTTTTTGGCCGCCCTGTCTGCCATCGTACCAATACGAACTTATTGAAGGTTAATGGGTTAATTTCAGCGTTTCGAGAGAGATCTCTCTTGCTTCCCTTTCTACTTGCATGTCAGTCATTACTATGAAGCCCTCTTTTCACCAGTTTTATCCCGGGTCTTGCCTTTAAGCTGAGGCAAAAACAACCGATAGAGAACATCAGCGCCGATTATGCACCAACCTTGCAAATTCCTCACCTCCGCTTTAGACCGCGCTGCTACGGTAACCTTAGTAAATCCCTGTCTATCGTCGTCGACGTTATCTTCCGCTTTATACCTAAATAAAATTGTGTTCGCTCGTGATAGGAAAACTGAGGAACGCACTGCGTACCCTTTTTGAAACTCACTGCAATTTCTCGGGAACTTTTCCACCCATTCGAACATCTCCCGTAGGAAGATCAGATGCTTTGCTTCCACCCCAATGGCGATAGATGTTGTGCTCTCCTAGCTAAACATGGGCTTTCAATTGTGTCATACTATAAAGCCAATGTAGGATCTTAACTGACCTCTTTGACGAGAAATTCTTTCCAGTCACTACCCAGAAATGTTACCTAAATAAAACGAATAAAGATAAAGGATAAAGCATTTGCCGTTGATCAATCCCTTTTTGGGATGCGGCACGCATTCTACTTCCATTTGTACATTCGTAGTGGCGTTTGAATGCGATGTGGCCTATACAATGACTTGCGGGGGCCAGCCGATGTACAAGTCAGTGTTTTTATCCTCCCAGACAAGTCTGGTACCAATTAACCGACCCCGGAGGGATGGAAGGCTTGGTTGGCCCGGGCGACTCACGACCCAGGATTTGATCCCCGGACCGCTCGCGTGGTAAGCGTGCCACTTGCCACTACACCACTTCCGCCCTACATTGAGATACTACGTCGAATTAGGAGACCCGACCGCAGTGGGCGGAGCCTTCTGTAAAGAGGCGGCGCTCAATAAAAAAACTCATAACTCTGTTAGGGGAGAGCCTGTTGGGCGTAAAATAATCTGTTAAGGAAGTGCCATATCAAAGGTGTCCCAGTACACGTGAGCTAGGCGGAAGCCCGCCCACATTAGGCGGAATGTGTGCCTAAAGTGGTTTGTTTTTATTACAAATCTTGGACAGCCGCTTCAAAGAAGTCCAGAAACCAGAGAAAAAGTGGGTAGAGATAAGAGAAGGGGAAGAAGGCGAAATGTTAATGATGTGCGTGGCGTGCACCAAAGTGGGTGGGTTTTGCTACAAAACTCTATATTCGGCGCCGAGAGGTCCCGGAAACCAGGATAAATGGACCGAGGTTAGAGATGGAGGAAAGTTGCTGAATTGCTGTTGGGGGTGGCTTGCACGAATAGGGCGACGTTCGCTGCGAAACACCGTAGTTGGGTCCAGGAGGATCCAGAGACCGGGAAAAAGTGCATAAAGGTTGGTGAAGGAAGGGAGCTAAAATGATATTGGTGGGTG